TAAATAACTGCCAAATAGAAACCAAATAATGATTAAATAGATTTGAATAGCTCCTAAATAGCTACTAATAGCTGCCAAATAGTCACTAAATAGCTGCTAAATAGCATTTGAACAGCTGCTAAAGAGCTGCTGAATAGCTGCTAAATAGCTGCTAAAGAGTTGTTAATAACTGCTAAATAGCGTGCACATAGCTGCTAAATAGTTTCTAAATAGCTGCTCAATAGTGACTAAATAGCTGCTAAATAGCTCTTAAATAGCTGCTAAATAGTTGTTGCATAGTTGCTAAATAGCTGCTAAAAAGCTGTCAAATAGCTGCTAAATCTCTGAAATATTTGCTGAATAACTGCTAACTCCTTTCTAAATAGCTGCTAAATAGTTACAAAATTGCTGCTAAATAGCTACTAAATATTTTCTAAATAGATGCCAAGTCTAAATAGCTGCTCAAGAGCTGCTAAATAGAACAAGGAGGTAAACCACATTCTAAGTGTTGAAAACCTTCTAAGTATCAGTAAATTCAAAAAAACACCGGGTGCCTGATCTTTTGATTATGTTTTTGCATCATTCTAAGTGTCAAACTGTTCGCACATAGCGTGGTGGGAAGATGATTTCAAAAGTGTAAGGTGCCCAAAACGTGAGTTTTGGCTTATCCGGTGGTGCGGCGGCTTCCAAAACTATATTCTACGTTCCTAAATAGCTGCCAAATACGTTCTAAATAGCTGCTAACTAGCTGTCAAATTGTTATTAAGTAGTTGCACAATAGTTGCTCCATAGCTGCTAAATAGCTGCTACATAGCTGCAAAATTCCTATTAAATAGGTTCGCAATAGCTGGTAAAAAAGTTTAAATGGCTGCTAAATACGTGCCAAGTAGCCGCTAAATATTTTCTAAATAGCTGGTACATAGTTACTGAACAGTTGCTGAATACATGCCAAATAGCTGCCAAATAGAAATCAAATAATGATTAAATAGATTTGAATAGCTCCTAAATAGCTACTAATGGCTGCCAAATAGTCACTAAATAGCTGCTGAATAGCTGTTGAACAGCAGCTAAATAGCTGCTGAATAGCTGCTAAATAGCTGCTAAAGAGTTGTAAGTAACTGCTAAATAGCTGCTAAATAGTTTTCAAATAGCTGCTCAATAGTTAGTAAATAGTTGCTGAATAGCTGTTAAATAGCTGCTAAATAGCTGCTAAATAGCTGCCAAATAGTTGCTAAATAGCTGCTAAATAGCTGTTAAATAGCTGATAAATAGCTGCTAAACAGCTGCCAAAAATCTATTCAATAGCTGCTAAATAAGTGAAAAATAGCTGCTGCATAGTTGCTAAACAGATTCTAAATAGCTGCTAAAAAGCTATTAAATAGATGCTAAATAGGTGAAAAATGGCTGCTGAATAACTGCTAACTCCTTTCTAAATAGCTGCTAAATAGTTACAGAATTGCTGCTAAATAGCTACTAAATATGTTTTAAATAGATGCCAAATAGTTACTAAATAGCTGCTAAACAGCTGCTGAATAAATGCTAAATAGCTTCTAAATAGCTGCGCAAGAGTTGCTAAATAGAACAAGGAGGTAAACCACATTCTAAGTGTTGAAAACCTTCTAAATATCAGTAAATTAAAAAAATTGACCGGTGCAGAATTTTTTGATGATGTTTTTGCATCATTCTAAGTGTCAAACCGTTCGCACATAGCGTGGTGGGAAGATTATTTCAAAAGTGTAAGGTGCCCAAAACGTGAGTTTTGGCTTATCCGGTGGCGCGGCGGCTTCCAAAACTATATTCTAAGTTCCTAAATAGCTGCCAAATACTTTCTAAATAGCTGCTAACTACTAGCTGTCAAGTTGTTATTAAGTAGTTGCACAATAGTTGCTCCATAGCTGCTAAATACGTGCCAAGTCGCCGCTAAATATGTTCTAAATAGCTGTTAAAAAGCTGCTGAACAGTTGCTGAATACATGCCAAATAGCTGCCAAATAGAAATCAAATAATGATTAAATAGATTTGAATAGCTCCTAAATAGCTACTAATGGCTGCCAAATAGTCACTAAATAGCTGCTGAATAGCTGTTGAACAGCCGCTAAATAGCTGCTGAATAGCTGCTAAAGAGTTGTAAATAATTGCTAAATAGCTGCCAAATAGCTGCTAAATAGTTTCTAAATAGCTGCTCAATAGTTACTAAATAGTTGCTGAATAGCTGTTAAATAGCTGCTAAAAAGCTGCTAAATAGTTGCCAAATAGTTGCTAAATAGCTGCTAAATAGCTGCTAAATAGTTGCTGAAAAGTTTCTAATAGCTGCTAAATAGCTTCTAAATAGATGCTGAATAGTTGCTAAATAGCTGCTAAACAGCTGCTAAACAGCTGCCAGAAAACTATTCAATAGCTGCTACATAGCTGAAAAATAGCTGCTGAATAACTGCTAACTCCTTTCTAAATAGGATATTCACAAAATAGCTGCTAAATAGCTAGTAAGTATTTGCTAAATAGATGCCAAATAGTTACAAAATTGCTGCTAAATAGCTGCTGAATAAATAACTGCTAAATAGCTTCTAAATAGCTGCGCAAGAGTTGCTAAATAGAACAAGGAGGTAAACCACATTCTAAGTGTTGAAAACCTTCTAAATATCAGTAAATTAAAAAAATTGACCGGTGCAGAATTTTTTGATGATGTTTTTGCATCATTCTAAGTGTCAAACCGTTCGCACATAGCGTGGTGGGAAGATTATTTCAAAAGTAGAAGGTGCCCAAAACGTGAGTTTTGGCTTCTCCGGTGGGGCGGCGGTTTCCAAAACCACATTCTAAGTTCCGCTTGTGGACTATAATAGATAGGATTTAGTCTAACCAGAGCTATTGGGAAACTTTTTTTAATAGGAAAATCACCAACGCCAATATTGAGAAAATCTGCTGACAAAGCAGCATCGCAACCTGGATGCAGCCATTCCAATACGATTTACGATGTCCAGCTGCAAAAAAAAAGAATTACGCACGCAGCCGTGGCACCAAGGAACCTTGAACCAGCCATTACAATGCGGTCTGCAAAGACCCAGTTGCAAAACACAATAGAACTACGCACAACAGCGCCCAAAATTGCAGCTCCAAACCACGATTTTGAAATGGTTTTACTGAGACTTTGAATAGGAAAATCACCGGCGCCAAAATTGAGAAAATTTGCTGACAAATCACCATCGCAACCTGGATGCAGCCATTCCAAAACGATTTGCGATGCCCAGCTGCAAAAGACAATAGGATTACACACGCATCCGTGGCAACAAGGGGCCTTGAAGCAGCCATTACAATGCGATCTGCCAAGACTCAGTTGAAAAACAAAATGGAACTACGTGCTCAACAGCAACGCAGAGCAACTTTGACGCAGCCACTCCAATGAGATTTGAAACAGCCAATTGCACAACACAAAAAGGATCAAAAAGAATTTCGCGCGCAATCTTCCAAAAGTGAAAGTTGAAGATGTGAAAACGAAGCTTTCGTGCGAGACCTCCCTCCAAAAGTGAGAGTTGAAGATGTGAAAACGAAGCTTTTGTGCGAGACTTCGTTCAAAAACCAACAGCTTGAAGTTGTCAAAATGAAGCCTGAACTGTCAGCTACAGCACGCCGCTGATCCGAGAATGATCACGATCACCGCCGGGACCGTCTCGCAACCGCCGCGCGGACAAGCTTCCCCATCCATCTTCCGAGGCACGTTTTGACCTGCAAAACACAACATTTCGTGCATCCGCTATCTCTCAAGAACGCATCTCGTGCGAGCCTTCCCTCAAAAATGAAAGCTGAAGATGTGAAAACGAAGCTTTCGTGCGAGATTTACTTTCCCTTCACAAGTTGAAGATGTGAAAACGAAGCTTTCGTGCGAGACTTCCCTCCAAAAGTGAAAGTTAAAGATGTGAAAGCGAAGCTTTCGTGCGAGACTCCCCTCACAAACTGAAAGACTGAAAGCTGAAGATGTGAAACCGAAGCTTTCGTACAAGACGTCCCTCAAAAAGTGAAAGTTGAAGATGTGAAAACGAAGCTTTCGTGCGAGACTTCCCTCCAAAAGTGAAAGTTGAAGATGTGAAAACGAAGCTTTTGTGCGAGACATCCTTCAAAAAGACCAGCAGCTTGAAGTTGTCAAAATGAAGCCTGAACTGTCAGCTACAGCGCGCCGCCGATCCGAGAATGATCACGATCACCGCCGGGACCGTCTCGCAACCGCCGCGCGGACAAGCTTCCCCATCCATCTTCCGAGGCACGTTTTGACCTGCAAAACACAACATTTCGTGCATCCGCTATCTCTCAAAAACGCATCTCGTGCGAGCCTTCCCTCAAAAATGAAAGCTGAAGATGTGAAAACGAAGCTTTCGTGCGAGATTTACTTTCCCTTCACAAGTTGAAGATGTGAAAACGAAGCTTTCGTGCGAGACTTCCCTCCACAAGTGAAAGTTGAAGATGTGAAAACGAAGCTTTCGTGCGAGACTCCCCTCACAAACTGAAAGTTGAAGATGTGAAAACGAAGCTTTTGTGCGAGACTTCCTTCAAAAACCAACAGCTTGAAGTTGTCAAAATGAAGCCTGAATTGTCAGCTACAGTGCGCCGCTGATCCGAGATGATCACGATCACCGCCGGGACCGTCTCGCAACCGCCGCGCGGACAAGCTTCCCCATCCATCTTCCGAGGCACGTTTTGACCTGCAAAACACAACATTTCGTGCATCCGCTATCTCTCAAGAACGCATCTCGTGCGAGCCTTCCCTCAAAAAGTGAAAGTTGAAGATGTGAAAAAGAAGCCTTCGTGCGAGATTTAATTTCCCTTCACAAGTTGAAGATGTGAAAACGAAGCTTTCGTGCGAGACTTCCCTCCAAAAGTGAAAGTTGAAGATGTGAAAACGAAGCTTTCGTGCGAGACTTCCCTCCAAAAGTGAAAGTTGAAGATGTGAAAACGAAGCTTTTGTGCGAGACTTCCATCAAAAAGTTAAACCCAATAGCTCTGGCTAGACTAAATTTAAATCCTATCTATTAGTTAATATATTGTTTCCTGACTATGAGATGGTGGATCCACTGATCTTCCTGCTTCTTTGATCCAGCTCATACGATTCTTCAGCCAATGGCTGCTGATTCTGGTGCTGCCTATTGGCTTATCCTTGCACCAGCTTTGATCCTGCTGGTACACCATGTGGCCTGATCTGTCTGGCCTGAATGCTAAAAACCCATTTCTCCTCAATCCTGCCAGCACCCACTGATCTTCATCATTTCTATCAATCATCCTCTGCATGCTGCTGTCCAATGCAACAGCTACATCCCTCAAGCTCATCTTGTACTGCTCACTTGGAGTTGCCTCATCCCTTCTCTGCTTCTGCATTCCCGTTCTCATGGTCTCATCAACTGACTGCCTCACACAAGCTTTAAACTGACGACTAAAGTCAGTATCTGTGAGTTGGAGAGCTGATGTCATCTTTGCAACAATGGAAGATGGCACCTCATGTGCCAAAAACTGCATCTGCCTCACCTGATCCACAAATGCTGCTCCAAAGCAATCTCTTTGGTGCAGTCTCATGCCTGCCTTGTGGCTCATGTCTCTGATGACCCAGGACATGATGATCCCATCAGTGTTCGATGATGGCTGAGAATAGACATGGAAATGCCTCAGCAGCTGTGGCTCATCCTTTCTCAGCTTCCTCCAAGGTTCTAATGTCCTGCCCACATTGTTGCCTTTCTTATGAGTTCTCTTCTGTCCCATGTAGGTGTAGGTCTCATCCTGCAGCCACTCTCCTGTTTCACTGATGTTTGCCAGAGAGGCATGTGGCCCTGGCACAATCAGGATGCCAGGGCTAACCACACCTAATGGGTTCTCATCAGGGTCAAAGAAGTTGAGGACACTCTGATGGGCTTCGAATGTAATGCGATACTTGTCAACATTTTGTTCTCTCATTGTAGTCAAATGTTTCTTGCCTGATGATTTGCGATCTGCTGCTTCAGGAATGTGCCATTCCTCACCTTCATCATGAGGAACAATCTGCTGATCCTTTTCCTCATCTCCCTTCTGCTGATTTTCTGTTTCTACAATGCCCTTCTCATGCGCTTTCTTATCCAGTTCCTCCCTGATCTTCTCTCTATGGCTTGTAACATCCTTTGCAGATTTCTTGGCCTCATGTGCTGCAAAAACTTCTTTGTTGCTAGGCTTCTTGACCCACAATGGGATCTGATCAGAGAAATGCAACACACACTTCCTCATCTGCTGTTTTGCCTGATCTGGCCTGCTGAAGAGCTCCTTATAGTCCTCATCCTTTGCTTGTGCAATCCTCCAGATCTGGTAATCATGCTGATTCCAACTCAGCTCTGCTCTGATCTGCTGCTCCACATCTGATAGCTGAGTTGTGAGATTGGGGCTCCTGACCTTTGCTCCAATGCTCTCAATGACATGCCTTGCTCTTCTATCAAGATTCTTTGGCTCTTCCAGTCCTTTCAACATTTTGGTGCTGCTCCCCAGATCTTTCTTCTCCTTATTGCTGATGCTTCCCTGCTCATTCTTGGCCTGGAGCTCCTGATGATATTGTAAAAGCAGCTCATGAAATTTCCATCCAACATGTCTTGGCAATACTGTATGGCAGTGGGATCTCTCGAGCTCCACCCATGTCCTGATCTGCTCATAGATGCTGGGGAATTGTAGCTTTCTGCCCCCACCCTTGGCTCTCATTCTCACCACCTTGGTAGCACCAGGCCCATGGCTCCCTCTTCTTGCTGATCTTCCTTCCACATGCTGCTCTGATGTGCTGAGGCCATGCTGCTCCATCTGCTTCTTCCACTCTGATCTCCTGTTCCAGATGTATCTCAGCTTCACCCTCTTCATCTTAAACTTCTTCGCTGCATGCATCAAAAGCTCCTCCTCATTTTTGTGTTCTTCTCTCATGCCAAAAATCTCTTGGCATAATGCATGCTTATGGCTGACTGGCAAATCATGTCTTTTCTTCTTCTGATGTTTTAGCCTTCTGTTGCTCTTCAAACCTCCACCCACTCCTCTCTTCAATTCCTGCATTACTTCTGGCCTCCCTCCCCTGTTCCTCATGCTGGGCACCATCTGATCTGTCAACTTCTTTTCTGTTGCTTCCTTGATGGCAGCCATATCAGCTTCAGTCCACTTAACCACTTGCCCATCCTTGTTGACTATGCCCTGATGCAGCAATGATCTGATCACATCCTCAATCTTCTTCTCTCTTTTCTTGGGAGGCAGCTGTGGTTCCTCTTCCAACTCCAATTCCTCTGTCCCAACTGATTCAGGGCTGAAAAACCTTTTCAGAGTTGATTGCTTCTGCTTGCTTCCCCCTGAGGCTGATGTAGCTGATGTAGGTGATGCTTTCATTGCTGGTGCTGATTCTGCTGATGTAGGGCTGAACTCAAGCTTTCTTCTGACAGATTGTGATGTAGGGGTCTCATATACTGTTCTCTTTCCTCTAATTCTCCTCAAAACCATTTGCGCATCAAATGAGTCAGTGCTGTTTGCCTTGTTCAAGCTGCTGGATTCATTCTTCTTATCTTCTTTTTCTTCTTGTTTTGCTTTATTCTGATTCTTCTCATCATCTCCTCCTGCTGCCTCTGTCTTAACCTCATTGCTTCCCTCATCAGCCTTTGTCTCTGCTACTGCTTCAGCCTCACTTTCTATCACCTCATCTTCCTCAAAGTCTTTCTCTTCTTCACCTCCCTCTTCTACATGCTGTTCTCCTGCTCCTCTGATTTCTCTCATTCTTCTTTTTCTTGCTCTTTGCTGCGCCTACCACATAATTTTTACATTAAGGAGGAAGAAGATCAGGAGAGTACACCAGGATAGAGAAATACAGATGCTATATGAATATGATATCAAGTAATTATTCTATATTGATACCAAAAATATGCTTTATTATTGATGTAAGCATATATATATACACACAATGCCCAAATGCAAACTGCTGATGGAAACTGAAAGCTGCAACACTGCTCATTGCAAATCACTGCTGATCAAAGTTGACAACTGCAAATGCACACCACTGCTGAAAGCACCACTGCTGATCATTGAAAAATTGAAAAAAAAACTATTCCCCAAATGATCGATTTCTAATTAAAATCTTTATAAAAATCATCAGTTTGGATAGCTCCCAAAGGGTACCCCCCATGAGCCCATGTCCCCCCCTAATAATAAACCAGGGCACCCTTGATTAATCAACCACCCCTGGCCTCATAGTGCTGCTTTTGCTTGCTTTCCTTCATTTTGCTCATTGCCTCTATGCTTTGCATCCTTTTGTTTTTCCTGTTTTCTTTGAGCTCATCTTGCTGCCTCATCGTTTTTAGATCAATGTTGCTTGTTGATCTTGCCAATTTGCTCCTCATTGCTTTGATCTCATCCTCCTTCCTCTTATCTAGCTCTTTTTGTTCCTCATCCTCTGCTATTTCCAGCTCTTGCCAATCAAAGTAGCTGCTCATGGGGGTGCATGTTTCCTTCATCTGGGCCACAGGAAAATGCAAAGTTTGCATTTTCCTGTGGCCCATCTCCATTTCCTCCTCTACTTTATCCAGCTCCTCCCAGTTGAAGTAGGTGCTCATGGTGTTGCCTGATTTCCTCATCCTTTGCATCTGCCTCATGTTCATCCTTTGCTCCTTCTCATCCTTCTTTTTTCTACTCCAAAATGCCTTTGACCTCCTCCACCTCATCTTTGCTACTAACTCCTTCACTTTCTGTGCTAATGCCTCATGCCTTTGCTTCTTAAATGCCTCATCTAACTCACACCAATCAAAAAAAGGATCACCAGTGCACTGCTGATCATTCCCATGCTGCCCAGAGAAGCCATTGCTGGTAGGCCCATAGTGCTCATGATGCCCATCTTCAAAGGGAGCACCACCACCATTCTCATCAGTGCCACCATCATCCAGCACCATGCTCATGCTGCCATAGGCCTGATCCAGGAGAATAAAAATTGGGCCATCACTATCCAATGGGAAGAAGCATCATAAAGACATAGTTTTTTTTGATATCCTGGATCAGGCTTATGGCAGCATGAGCATGGTCTTTGGTGATGATGGATGAGCCTATCTCCACTGGAATCTTTGGCTGGGATGAGCTGGACCTGATCCAGTCTGGAACTGATCCAGTTTTGTTGTCCATGGAATGATTCTTTTCATTGGATGGTGGTGGCTCATGATGAAAAAATCTCATAATCTCTATTATGTTTTGAAGTTTTCCAATCAGATTGTGATAGCTCATGCCTAGCGATGGGTTAATTAATTTGTTAATATCTCATGGGGCCCATGATGTTTTAACCATCAAACCTTTTCAAATCCAATGGAATCTGATGTGGCCCAAAAGCATTTAAGAATCAAATCTTATCAAACCCAATGGAAGGTTTCCATGAGATTATGTCGATCAAATCTCATCAAACCTCATCATACCCAAAATCCATGCACCCATAGGCCTCCAGAGCATCCCAGCCACAGATTCCAATGGAGATAGGCCCATCACCATCATCTCCAAGGCCCATGCTCATGCTGCCATAAGCCTGATCCAGGATATCAAAAAAAAACTATGTCTTTATGATGCTTCTTCCCATTGGATAGAGATGGCTCATGATGAAGAATCTAATCATCCCCTTTCTGTTTTGGCATATTCCCATAAGATTGTGATAGCTCATTAAACCCCATGAACCCATATGCATATGCCTCATCCTCATCAAATCTTATGAAATCCATTAGAATCTGATGGGATTCATGAGGTTTTAGGACTTAAACCTTATGAAATCCAATGGGCTTTGATGAGTTTCATGAGATTTTAAGCATCGAATCTTATGAAATCCATTGGAATCTGATGGGATTCATTAGGTTTTAGGACTTAAATCTAATGAAATCAAATGGAATCTTATGGGTTCCATGAGATTATGACATTAAAATCTTATCAAATCTCATCATCCCCAAAATCCATAAACCCATAAGCCTCATCCAGGGAATCCCAGCCAAAGATGCCAGTGCACTCATCTCCAAGCACCATGCTGATGCCATAGGCCTCATCCAGGAGATGGAAAAACTATGTTTTTATGATGCTTCTTCCCATTGGATGGTGATGGCTCATGATGTAAAAGTATCATCATCTCCTTTCTGATTTGTTTTTCCTATAAGATTGTGATACCTCATGCATGGTAATTATCTCAACACCACTGTTTAACAATGAAATCTTATCAAATCCAATGGAATCTTATGGGATCCATGGGATTTTAACAATGAATTCCTATCAAATCCAGTGGAATCTGATGGGATTCATGAGGTTTTAAGTATGAAACCTTATGAAATCCAATGAAAATTGATGAGATTCATGAGGTTTTAAGTAACTATCAAATCTTATGAAATCCATTAGAATCTGATGGGATTCGTGAGGTTTTAGGACTTAAATCTAATGAAATCCAATGGGACCTGATGAAATTCATGAGATTTTAAGTATAAAATCTCATGAAATCCAATGGGGCCTGATGAAATTCATCAGATTTTAAGTATGAAATCTCATGAAATCCAATGGGACCTGATGAAGTTCATGAGATTTTAAGTATAAAATCTCATGAAATCCAATGGGGCCCTGATGAAATTCATGATATTTTAAGTATAAAATCTCATGAAATCCAATGGGGTCCTGATGAAATTCATGAGATTTTAAGTATACAATCTCATGAAATCCAATGGGATCTGATGAAATTCATGAGATTTTAAGTATAAAATCCGATGAAATCCAATGGGATCTGATGAAATTCATGAGAGTTTAAGTATAAAATCTCATGAAATCCAATGGGGTCTGATGAAATTCATGAGATTTTAAGTACAAAATCTCATGAAATCCAATGGGATCTGATGAAATTCATGAGATTTTGAGTATACAATCTCATGAAATCCAATGGGGTCTGATGAAATTCATGAGAGTTTAAGTATAAAATCTCATGAAATCCAATGGGGTCTGATGAAATTCATCAGATTTTAAGTATAAAATCTCATGAAATCCAGTGGGATCTGATGAAATTCATGAGATTTTAAGTATAAAATCTCATGTCCAATGGGATCTGATGAAATTCATGAGATTTTAAGTATAAAATCTCATGAAATCCAATGGGGTCTGATGAAATTCATGATATTTTAAGTATAAAATCTCATGAAATCCAATGGGGTCTTATGAAATTCATGAGATTTTAAGTATCAAATCTTATGAAATCCATTAGAATCTGATGGGATTCATGGGGTTTTAGGACTTAAATCTTATGAAATCCAATGGAATCTTATGGGACCCATGGGATTTTAACAATGAATTCTTATCAAACCCAATGGAATCTTATGGGACCCATGGGATTTTAACAATGAAATCTTATCAAATCCCATCATGCCCAAAATCCATGAACCCATAAACCTCATCCAAAGCATCCCTGTCAAAGATGCCATTGGGGATGGCTTCATAGTGCTCATGATGCTCATCTTCAAAGGGAGCATCACCACCATTCTCATCGATGCCATCATCCCCAAGCACCATGCTGATGCCATAGGCCTGATCCAGGAGATTAAAAAACTATGTCTTTATGATGCTTCTTCCCATTGGATGGTGATGGCTCATGATGAAAAAGTATCATCTTCATCATTTCTGCTTTGATTTTTCCCATAAGTTTGTGATAGCTCATGCATGGGAATTAGCTAAGCCCCATGAACCCATAAGCCTCTTCCAACGCATCCCAGTCAAAGATGCCAGTGCACTCATCTGCAAGCACCATGCTGATGCCATAGGCCTGGTCCAGGAAATTAAAAAACTATGTCTTTATGATGCTTCTTCCCATTGGATGGTGATAGCTAATGATGAAAAATCTAATCATTCCCTTTCTGTTTTGGTATATTCCCATAAGATTGTGATAGCTCATTAAACCCCATGAACCCATATGCATATGCCTCATCCTCATCACAGCCAAAGATCTCACCCTTCTCATCTTCAAAGGGGTCATTGCCATCATCCTCATCAGTGCTCTCATCCCCATGCCCAAGGTCAGCCAATGCCCAAAACCGATTGTGCAGGCTCATGGCTTTCCTCATCTCCTAATAGCCTATGAACTAGATCACCAGCTAAAAGGGTGGGTTGCTGATTGCTGCTGATGCCAAAAGCTGCATGGTTTCTCATAAATCTCATGCTGATTCTCATGTTTCAATCATGGGATTTCCTCACTGTTTCATTCTTGATTGTTTCGTTCTCATCACTTTTTGAAGCATGCCTCATGCAAAATCTCATGTCTCCCCATCTTGCACTGGTTTTCTCATGGTTAAATCCCATGCCAGTTCTCATGTTTCACTCATTTGAATTCCTGATTTTCATGTTTCCCATGCAATAAATACATTAGGTTTTGATGCTTCCCATGATGAGTCTTGTGAAAAATTAGATTAGAAAACCCCATTACACCACAATGCTTCCCACCCCATGCTCACTGCTGTTTTTTTCAGGCAAAATATGTCTGATGGTTTGCTCATGGCTCACATTGGCTGATGCCACCCCACCTTTATAATCCCATATCTATGTATATATATATATATATCTAATGGTTAAATCATCTCATCAACCTATATAATTATTTAGTTAGTTATGATATCTAATCAACCTATATAGGTGGCCTATGGCCTGTTCCAGCAGCATGGGTGTGCATTTATGGTTCATTGGTTAGCTAGATGACTAATGTTTAATTAATGAATGACTAATGTTTAATTAATGATTGCTAATTAATTATAAACTGATTTAAATGCACATCCATGCATGTGAGCTCATGGCATTCATGCTGATGATCTCATCTCATCAGCTCACCAAGCTCTGATCTGTTGGATCAAAGCTAAAATCTCTTGCCCATGTGGCCACCTCATGGTCAGCTGGCCCATTTGGCCCTCATTCCACTGACTCAACCCATCATGCTCCACCATGAGCCAATGCCTCATGCCTTAGGTTTTGCTGTTTTCCCCATTGGGTGTTGAGAAAAAACACATGCAATCTTATATAATTAAAACCCAATGGTGCCTATGAGGATTTAAGTATTAAACCTGATGAAATCCAATGGGGTCTGATGGGATTCATGGTTTTTTTTTTATATTAAACCTGATGAAATCCAATGGAATCTGATGAGATTCATGGGGTTTTAGGACTTATATCTTATGAAATCCAATGGGATCTGAAGCCATTCCTCATGAATTAATTATAAACTCTTATGAACCCCATTAAAAACCATGGGGTTCCAGTCCTTTCTCATAGACACTCATATTCTTAGTTCAGCCAAGACACTCAATGGGTGATCAGGCCTGATCAAGTTCTCATAGTGCTCTGATGTCACCCTGATGGGGGAGAATGCACCAGTCCTCAGAATCAGTGATGAACATGTATGCCAAGTGTATATTAACTAATTAGCTAATTATATATGTAATTAATTACATCTAAAAAAAGTATTTTAAAAGTGCTCTAAATATTTAATTATACAACTATATAGTTAACTATATATGATTATACAATTTATAATCAAAAATCAAAAGCTTAATTAATAACACCAATTAGGACCCAGTGGCTGATAGGCTGCATTGATGTTGGCAATGAGCTCATCCAGCAGCTGATGGTTCGTCTTGCCCCTATCGTTCCTCTCATTGTAGATGGTACCTAGCAATGGAATCACACCCAATGGTATCTTATGAAAAAAAAACAAAAAAAACCAACCAAATCCAATGAAATCTTATGAAAATCCAATGGAACCCATGGGGTTTACTAACCAGGTCCCATCAAACCCAATGAAAAACCTAGTAATTAAGGCCCATAGGATTCACCCAATCTAACCTAATGCAATCTTACATAAAAACCCAATGGGGCCCCAAGCAACCTAAAACAGAAACCAAGCAACTCTCATGGGGCTCATCCATCCCCATCATGAGCTTCATGCCCACCTGGAACATGTGGAGCAAGCTGATGGTGCAGATGCTCACCCATGCCATCCTTGGTTGATGTGGATTGGGGGTTGGCTTATGTACACAAATATATATACATATTTATATGCATATAATTATAATATATATAATTAATTATATATATATAACCTATATAATTATATATACACATATAATTAGCATATATATATATATGGCATGACTTATGAGTCCTATGGGCTACCAAGTAACTCATGGCTGCTGATCTTCAATGAGGCATCTCGCTCATAGGTGAGCCACCTCCTCATCATCGGGATCCTCCTTTCCAATGGGCACACATCAGTCTCCCAGCCTGAGATGAGGGCTGATAAATTAATCAAATGGAATCTAAATGGAGTCATGATGTTTTTAAGACTCAAACCCTATGAATTCCAATGGAAACTGATGGGATTCATGAGGATTTAGGACTTAATTATATCTTATGAAATCCAATGGGATTTGATGGGATTCATGAGGGATTATGACACTAAAATCTTATCAAATATCATCATCCCTAAAATCCATAAACCCATAAGCCTCATCCAGGGTA